GAAGGACAGATAAAGGAGCAGCCACCATCTTGACTGCTGGCTGCCCTTCGTGCTGTCCTGCCAACTGGCACCTTCCCTTCCTGGGCAGGGCCACTGGGGAGCCAGAATATTATTTTTATGAAGATTTTGTTGTTAATATCATGGATAATCCTGGATTTCACAGAAACCCCAATGTAATGCAGACCCCTAGTTATTGTATGTGTCATGGTACACTAATGCCCCAGATGTTCGTGAATGTTGTCTGTGTACCGTGAGTTCACAAATCACTAGGTTTTCCAGTTTCCAGTTACTCTGAATAACACAGGATTTCTTTACTAGGGCTGCCAAAGCTGACATGTACAAATCCCTGAAGCATAACGACTGAGTCACAAGAAAAAATAAATCAAGATTTCCTAAGTATGCCCTTCAGTCTATTCGAGGGCTACTACTTGCAGACCACTACTCTGAATAATCCTGCTGTGGTTACTACTGTCCACTTGCCCTAGCAATCCAGGGGTTAAGAGTTCTAGAAGTCTTCTAAATTTACCCTGTAACAAGGCCCTAAGTAACTCTGCTTAACCAACCCACCATCTTTCCTTCCCAAACTACCTGCTGTCCAGCTTCTACTGCCAATTCTCAAGCTGATGCCACCAACCAACTGTTCTTCACCCCAATACCCTCTCTAGCCTTACTAGTGTGTTACTTCAACATCTAGCCAGTAGAGAATGCTATAGCTGTTAGAATGGAACATGCTAACAATGAAGTCCACTGACTAAGATTCAGTAATGAGTTCCCTGTGTCCAAAGTGGATTAGAATGGGGTTGCCTGTTGCAACAAAAGAGGCAGCAAGGAAGAAGGCACAAAACTGATGCTGGGAGGAAGAGGCTGTGCAGAGTAATGAGAGATAGAAACAAGAGTAAAGCCAGAGGTAGAAGCTTAACAGGAAAATAAGCTTAATGAAAGCTTAAAAGAACTCAAAGATCACCAAGGCTGATGGACTTCCAGTGTCTCCAATGGGCCTTGCATCAGCCAAACAAAAAATTAGCTATTTTGGGGTTTGAGAGTAAGAGATCCAGAGCATGAAAAAGATTTGCAGTGTTAGATTCTGAACTGACAGAAATGAGGGGAGATATGATATCTTTCATCTATCCAAAGAACCTTGCCTGCCTACATCCTTAGACCAGGGACGGGCAATTATTTCAAGCAGAGGACCACTTATTAAGTTTTGGCAAGTTGTCAAGGGCTGCATGGGTAGCCCCACCCCTTGACAGATGCCCTGCCCCCTGGTTGTCATCTTGTGACGGGAAGTCCTGCCCCCTAATCCCTGATCTTTGCCACCTGAAGTCCCCCTCCCCTTGCCCCCAGAAGTACTCCTTTCAGCACGGGGTTTGTCATCTCAGAACCAGAAAAATACCAAATTATATTCTAAAATGCAAGCATCTACAGCATTCATTAATTTGATTTAAAATATTTTTGTTCTGATTTACATGTGTTTGTGTAGTGTACATAGAGGTGATTGCACAATAGCTTAAAATGAAGTCTTACTCTTGTATATCATGGGGGGTGGATATAAGTTTGTGGGGAGCTGTGAGTGTGTGGGTATGTGGAGCATGGGTGGGTATGGGATTTGTGGGGGGGGCTGTGGCTAGGGTGTGAGGGGAACCA